AGTACTGTAGCAGTCGTTTTTACCTGCACCAAACATCTATTTTCATGAATTAAACAATGATAGACCATGGTGACACCTTTCAAGTCTGTGATATGTTTAAAAAAAAAATCCTTACGATCTATCATTAAAGACATTACAAAGGTTTTTAAAAAATCTTGACTGTAATAGTTCATCGTTCAAAAATGCACTTTTGCTCCTTGTTTTTACGTGATAAATTTATTATAAAATTTTCATCAAGTAACTTTTTAAAATGAGTAAATTTGTAAAAAGATTCCACATATTGGAATTTTTAAAAAAAATATTGGACAGGTTTTAACATTTGAGTAAATTTATGTATGATGAGAATGAGCTATTAATTGAATAAGACCAGACAAGCAAAAAATAGAAAAATAAAATAATTGCTTAGGGACCCAATGTATTCTGTTGATATTTTGAAAACAAACAATGTACAGTTTAGATGGGAAAAACAAATCCAAACACTAGTCCATGCATCAAGAACATCAAAAAAACATTTCAATCATGAGTGAATGCCATGAACAATGACATGAACATTGACATCAACATTGACATGAACATTGACATCAACATTGACATGAACAATGACATCAACACTGACATGAACGATGCCATGAACAATGACATCAACATTGAAATGAACAATGAAATGAAATGTAGTTTTTATTTTGGTTAAAAAATTGAATATCACACGTTCTCCATGTATTATGGCCTGAGTGACAAAAGGTTTTTTCCAGAAAACAACCAGTTAGCAAGAAACAATTTAACAAATAAACAACGGCAACAACCAACATGGGTTGTCAGAAAAACATACAGTTTATAAGAAATGTATGAAGATGCAAGTCAATCAAAGCTTTAGGACCAGCCAGTTCATTGAGGTAGAGGACCAGCCATTTTAATTTAATGAGGTAGATCACCAAGCCTTTTATTTAAGATATTCCAGATGAAGGAAGTTTGAAAGCATGATGGATAAGCATGACATTCAATGTGAATTGTTACAGAGAAGAAAGCTCAGCTCAGCTAACAGTACATTTAAAATGCTTCAAACTATCGTAATACTGTTTGGTGTTTAGCTTTCAATGTCTATTTTTTTTTTTTAAATTACACTCCCCTGGACACAAAACTCGAAGGTTTTCATGATGGCAGATTATTTTTGGGTTAGTTCACAAATAATTAATCATTTGCTCAATTGTGTAAATGGTAAACATCAGTTTTTTTCTTTTTTTTTTGGGTTTTTTTTTTTTGTTTTTGGGGGGGGGGGGGGGGTACCAAATTGAGCTTTATTTTATTTTTAAACAAAAAAAGATAGCTCCTGGTCAAAGATATATTTTCATATAAGATTATATTTTAAGGATTTAATGTGTGATATTTATCTCAGGAGGTTGACGAATTGTGGTATATAATGTTGTTTTTTTTTTTTTTTTTTTTTTTAAATAGATACTTGTAAAAAGTCCAGGACAAAAATTATTGTGGATATTAAGCAATGCTTCTTTTATTTTTATTTTTATTTTTTGGATTAAATTTTAAAAATAATTAATTAATTGGTAAAAAGTATGCTAAAAAATATAAACTCAAACACTATGCCATATTAAATTCTTAATTTCTCAATCAGAGACAAGTTACGATGTGATCAAAACAGACAGCTTATGGTTCATAACATTACCAACATGATGGGCAATTATCCTGAGATTTTTTAAATAACACATTTTTTTTTTCACAAATATTTGCAAAACATCCTGAGTATCTCAACACAGAAAATCAATTAGTATTTTCATTTGAAAATAAATTATAATATAAAATTCCTGAGCAATTGTAATTGAAAGATTATTCAAGCAGATTTTGCCAAAAATTTTCAGAAAAAACCCATTGAAAGTAAATCAATCAGAAAAAAATATTGATTTCACTTATCTATTATTGTTGACAAAAAAGTAAGAAGTTGATACTTTTCTTAGTCTTTATTTACAAAGTTATGTAAGCATGGAAGGACAAAAAAAGCAAGTGAAGCAGGGGAAGAATAACTATGTGAATATACAAATATGTTTGTGAAATCACCTGAGTTGTTTTTCCTGAGTTCATTTTAATCAAATGCATTATCACTGCAGAGAAGAAAGTGAGTTAAAAAACATTGATTTACAAAGAACAAGAACAAAATTATTTTTAGGCAGATGAAACTAACATTGAAGTCAAGAAATAAAAATTTGAAAAATTCATTGCTCTACCAAGAAAACATAGGATTTTGTTAAAACTATCAAGCATTGATGGATTTCTGCTTTTCTTTATGCACATTTGTGAAATTAAATCTCTATATTTCAAAGTTTTATTAAATTACAAAGTAAAAAATATGAATTTAGGAAGAGTGTTACCATGCATTTATAGTGCATGAAAATGTTTTTGGTGATATTCAAGACTTTCTTGCTGAAAATATTTAAATTTATTAATTTTTTAATTTTTTAATATAAAGATTGAAGGTGACATGATTAAATTTTCTGACTAGATTGGTTAATTATTTGTTTTACAATTAAAAAAATGCAATATTTTACATTAGGTAACCACTCTGCTTTTAAATTATTAAAAAATCAAGATACCAGTACTTTTAGTTAAGTTTTAGATATGGAAAACCGTTAAAACTCACTTATTTTTGCTTTGTTTTTTTTTTAATTGTTTAAATACAATTTTGAAAATTTATATTTGATTTTTTAAAAAGATAAATATAACTGAATATTAAAACTTGAGAAGAATAATTCATAAGTTCATATGAAATTTATGGCAAATGACAATGATAACTTGAGATCTTGAATCAACTTGTTTCGATAAAAATAAATATAATCACAAGTTTGCGCTTCATACCATTACCCGTATTGGTGTTGAATAAATGAATTTAAGAAGAAAAAAATTGTTTGTAACTTCAGCATATAAAAAAGTTGAAAAAAAGCCAGCATATTTTTCGTGCAAAAGCATTTGAATTTGAGGAAGTTTTGAATTAACCTGTGTTAATATCAGGTGGCTGTGTCAATACTGTTATCAAGCCTTTTAAAGGCTTGTAAATGCTCATGTAGAAATTTTTTTTTTTTAATATAATCAGTGATCATTCAAAAAAACATGCACAAAAATTATAAATTGGGAAATAGAATATTATGAGAAATAATATGCTATTAATTGCAACCTGAGTTTTATTACCAGTAAAGCTGGTAGAGTTTGGCAATTTTCTTTGAAAACTTCATCCTTCATCACTCATCTGACATCATTGCAAAAGTAATGAACAGTTTGGCAGATTGACAGATATTTTAGTATAAATATACATTACTCATCATGAAATAATTAACACAAGACATACTTGTATTTGGATAATACAATGCGTTTCAGTGTGATGTAGAATAGACAGTGTAAAGTAAAAAATGAAGAAATCCCTGCAATGTGGTAAAAAATGCAATTGTTATAGAAAATGACTGAGGTAGTTATGAGTCAACTTGAAAGCTTTTTCAAAGAATGATCATCTTAATAGAAATAATGATGCACCTTTCTCAATCAGGTGCACATTGATCATAGAGATTTTCGGGCCCAGAGCAAATTTTGGGCCCCCACTAATTTCAAAATAATTGTATTAAATGAAATTGTACCCAAAGAAATTGCACCTTTGGGGGATGGGGGTCCCCAATTGGGCAGGGCCACAAGTGATTGACTCGATTGTCTGAGCCTCTGTACCGCCCTGCAAAACATTCTTGGGGGATGAAAAAAGTGAACAAGACAAAAACACTAGTTTACTTCTAAATTGTAACATTTTACATTTTTTCATTTTCCACCCAGTATAATGAAGATAAAGCAAATATTTAAATAATACTTCTTTTTTGTTTTAAAAATAAACAATTATTAAAAATATTTTAGCCTCCCAATGTTAACACGCATGTATGTAAAGTATTACTTCTCTCTTTAAATTTAATGAAAGTTCAGCAAATTTATTTATTTTTATTCAGTCTTGAGATCATTTCAGCAGTACTAATGAACAATATATTGTTTAGTGAACTGTTTGAACAAGTTTTCCAGAAACACTGTTAGTACCCAACACCAGAAAATGTAAAAATTAAACTGCAACCGAGTACCTGATTTATTTTTATATTTCAAAGAAGCAGATACAATGTCTTGTTTAGGAAAAAAAATTAAATATTATTTCTTTTGATATACATTTGTGATCCTGAGCTGCTAATGGAAAGCTATATATATTTTTTTGCTTAAAAAGCATGAAAAAATTGCCTGAACACTAACATGCAAGTTTTAGAAATATACAAAACATTATCGGAATAACAATGACAAATGTATGTGAACCCAAATAAATTATAGTTTTGTATTTGTTATAGAAGCTCACAAAGTTTCTGTACCCGTAGAGTTATGCAAAAAAAAGAACAAGAAACTTTGTTAGCATCTAGAAGCAGGTGGTGGCTGAACCAACAAAGCTGTGAAATATTTATAAATACATAGAGTCAACAGCGTGATAAGCAATTCCCTGATGAAATAGTAAACATCTGAAAGATATCTCGGCCAACAGCACAAGTAATAATTTAAGAATAATGTTAAGAATGAGTTATTGGGTTTGACCAAAAAATAGGTATCCATAAGTCCATTACTTCCCTTTTTACAGTCAAACATTTTTAAAAAAAAATGTATGTACATATGATGGAAAGAAAAATACTTGAATATTCCAATGAATTGGAGAACAAAAAAAAGCGAAGAAACATTTTAGAGTTATTATAGTGCACCTGATGTCTCAGTGATGTCACTCTCCATTTCTGTTGAAATCAACTCACTGAAGGCTCTCTTCCTTTCTCTTTACAGACTGTCTAAAAAATCAGTTTTTGGACAGGATAATGAATTGTCTATTTGTCTATTTGTTAAATAAGTCCTCCTTTCTGTCCTAGACCCAAATGCTCAGACAGATGCACTGTGAAATAAGTTTTGTCTTTGCAGTCCTCTCCGCACACAGAGCATAAGAACGGACGGCTCATGTCACACTGATGATATTTCTGATGGAGTCGAAACATGGCGTACTCTGTGAAATAAATGTCACAGAAGGGGCAACGGAACATTCGGCCAGAAGTTAGAAGTGAGAGCAACAGTTCCTGACGGTGGTGCTCGCTCATGTTGTTGGGACTCGGAGCCGAGTGAGTCGAGTTGGCAGGACTGCCGTGAGAGCTGAGACCCAACGGGCTGGCGTGCGAGTGGATGTTGTTGCCATTACACGAAGATCCAATGGGGCTGCCGGCAGACGACTGATGCTGGAGGGAACAAGTAGAATACTGCACAAGAGGACTAGGGCAGCAAATATTCACCTGGGCCCCGAAATCTTCAGTTGAAATTTTCAGTTCGTCCTTGGCATCATAATTTCTGTCTTGGTGGTTGCCATTCGGGGTGTTGATGTGCCTCTCCTTCTTTGGTGAGAAGCTTGATACAAAAGGATTTCGAACTTCTCTTTTGATCATCTCTCCAGGCTCTTCAACCTCAGATTTAATCTTATTCTCTTTATCCCAAGATTTCATTACTGGACTCCCTCCGTTGTTTACTTCAGACTCTCGACGTTGAACTTTTTCTTTGCATTTACTTTCTTCTTCTTCCTCTTCAAAAGGTGACTTCCGCTTGCCCAAGCTCAGATTCAGGGCATCAGACTGAACTGCTGGCGTTACACCGTGACTTTGGGCATAAGCAGAATAACCCATGAGCTGATTGGTCGAGGCATAGAACTGATATAAATGGGGCGCAGCAGTGGCTGGGTAGGCAAACAAATTAGCTGCGGCTACGGCAGCTAGACCTCCAGCCATGGGAGAAGTTAAAGCCTGCGAGGTCAAGTGATTCGATAGCATTCTTGGCGAGACCATATTCTGTGAGGTCGTCTTGGTGGGTGTCCTTCTCCCAGTGGTCCCATACCTCTCCATGTCGAGGTTGGTGGTCGGGTAGACAGGTTGGCGTGTGTGTTGTAAGAAACTCGTATTTTGCTCAGTGGTTGATTTCCTATTGTAGGAAGTGTACTGTGGGCTGACAGCTGACATGGCCGGGCTGCTTGTCGTTGTGACTACGGGGTTGGCGGCCATCTTGCCAGTCATACCTGTATGTCTTGTTGATCCTGCAGTGTTGTCATACAGAACATACTCGAGCATGGAGTTCCTGGATATGTTGTGCCGTCTCCCATGTCGACGTAGGGTTGAGCCTCTGGTGAATCTTGCTCCGCATATTTGGCATTGGTATGGTTTAAGACCTTGATGAAGCTTCATGTGCGATTTCATGTTATTTTTATACCCAAACCTCTTATTACATATTGGACACTCATACGGTTTCTGGTCAGCATGAGCTCTCTCGTGAAAACGGATAAAAGATTTAGCAAACGCCTTGTTGCACACTTTACAGACTTCTGTCTCTTCGTTGGTTAGGTCCCCATTGGGAGGAGAATCATCGGTTTCGTTGCTCTGAAGTTTCTTCGTTGTCTGATCCGAGTGTTTCAGAACATCTGGCAGGCTATCCGCACTTCTTCGCTGCATTAGATTATTTCTTTCCTTTTTGTCCTGCTCGCCATCCGAAAGCGCGGTGTTGTGGGGCAGACTGGATGACCCTTCAGATGAATTGTCAAGAAGTGAGAAATATTTGAGTGAGCAAGTCTCCTGCTTTGGCAGTGAGTGCTCAGAGAGTAGATGAGATTTAAGTAGCATGATCTCTTCAAAAGGTTTTGAACACTGCTTGCACTTGTATGGCCCCTCATTGTGATGGCGCAGGAAATGGATTCTGAGACTATATGCACAGTGAAATGCATTGGAGCAAAGGGAGCAGGCGAACGATTTCGTTTGGGAATGAAGAGCCTCGTGAGCTTGGCGGGTGATGGTGTCGGCAAAAGATTTCTGACAGAACTGACAGACCAGGGGATTGTACGAGCTGCTCTTGTTGTGGTTTTTGGACATGTCCATCATTGCTGGCTTTTTATCACCGCTTTCATCACCCGGGATGCTTATATCCTCCTTGAACTGCTCTTCGTCTTCCTCCACTTCATCTTCATTCTCTTCATCATCCTCATCGTCTTCTTCGTCAAGCTCGTCCACAGGGTCTACTGTTATGAACTGGTCTTGGACACGCTGTTTTGTGCTCCACAGCGGTGGGGGAGACGATGTGGTCAGTTTCAGTCTAGCTCCTGAGATGTTGGCCACAGTTATCTTGTCAGGGTAGTCCGATTTGTCATGGTTAGGACTGGACCACTCGTTTTCACGGCCGGATGATCTTGTGTAGTCTTGGGGGCTTCCGGACCTTCTTCTGTCTGTGATGGGTGGCATTCTGTCGGACCTGGTTTCTCCTGGCTCAGGTGATGAGGGCGACCTCGGAACCCCGCGCATTGAAGTCGGCGGGAACACAGGAGGCTGAGACCTGAGAGAGAAATCCGAGCAGTACTTGGCCGTCAAGTCAATGCCCGAATCTTGGGTGAAGGATTTGGAAAGAGACGAGAGACTGGCATTAGGGATCGAGCTGCCATGGTCTCTGGACTTTGAGGGCGATGGGGTCGATGTAGCCCAGAGCGAAGACTCCGGCTCTTTCTTTGACTGCAGCGTGTTGCTGTTTTGATCCAAAGAGGCTATAGCCGCAGCTGAGATGGAATTGTAGAAATGCGATCCGTAGTGTGCATAGCCGTATGCAGCAGCCGCGGCACTTCTAGACGAATTGGTACCCAGGGGTGTTGTGGGTGGAAATGACGTGGGATAGGCCGGGTGTAAGCTCTGAGGTGGTGGGGAAGCCGGTGTAGGAGCTGAAGGAAGGCTGTTTCCAGTTTGAGAGGATGGTGTCAGGGAGATCCCTGAGCTGACGGTGCGTGGCGCTGAAGGGATTGGGTTGGAATGGGAATTGGCAGCTTCTTTGTGACGCTGCTGCTGTTCCTTGAGCGCTGCAGCTGCCGCGACTGCGGTGGCCGTGTTGTTCTCCTCATTTCTCGCCAGGCTGTTGGACGCACGGAGAAGCGGACAGCGTCGTTCGTGATATCGCCGGGTCGTAGATCTTGTGAACACCTTGTTGCAGAAAGTGCACATTCGAGATTTCCTAGGAAAACCGTTGCTGACGTAATTATAAAGTTCGGATCCAAAGTTGTAAGTGGGCATCTGGACTCCAGACAAACCATAAGGGAACTCGTTAACATTAGGATACGCCATGCTGATCGCCGAGCTGACGGCAGAGGTTTGCGCACGGCTGTAGTTGGTGCTTTCTCGTCCGGCACTTCTCTCGGCTACAGATCTGGGTGTGGCGTCATACGAGAACTCCGGCGGGCTCGCCCGCGAGGACGTGTTGACGGCAGACCGTGGAGCGGGCATGGGAGAGAAACCAGGAAGTAGGCGATGGGGGGCACTGAGGTACGCTCTGTTGGCCATGGCCGAGTGGATTGTTCTTTGCGATCGAGACGCTATGCGGACGAATGTAGTTGACAGAGATGAAACGTAATTTGGCGTGGACTTGAATGACACTATTTCTGAGGGACGGGCTAAGGCTCGCGGCTGTGGGCTTTGTAGGGTGGTTGCTCGGTGCAAGGTGATGTGCTTCTCCTACATGCATCTCGGACACGCTTGTTGCCCTTGCATCGGTGTGACTCTGCAATGATAGGAACAAGAAATTGCAACTTAAGTTTATGCTTGGGTAACATTTTATTGTTGCCTGGAATGGAAGGAGAAATAAAGACAACACATTGTATAGGCTCATTTCAAACTTGGGTGAAATTAAGGCTGAAATAAACTTGATGTCATAGTAAAATTTAAAAAAAATATATATTAATGGATGAAATAACCGAGATAATACCGAGATCGATTTAACAAAGTTAAATAAAAAGTTAACTGAAAGAGTTAACATCGCATACGTCTTTATCTCCCTGCTCTCTATAAATAGATTTATTCTTTTGAATCCATTCAATTTTCCTTTATCGTTCTCTTTCGTGGGGACATTGCTCAGAATTAACACTAGGACATTGCTCAGAATTAACACTAGGACATTGCTCAGAATTAACACTAGGACATTGCTCAGACTTAACACTAGGACATTGCTCAGACTTAACACTAGGACATTGCTCAGACTTAACACTAGGACATTGCTCAGACTTAACACTAGGACATTGCTCAGACTTAACACTAGGACATTGCTCAGACTTAACACTAGGACATTGCTCAGACTTAACACTAGGACATTGCTCAGACTTAACACTAGGACATTGCTCAGAATTAACACTAGGACATTGCTCAGAATTAACACTAGGACATTGCTCAGAATTAACACTAGGACATTGCTCAGAATTAACACTAGGACATTGCTCAGACTTAACACTAGGACATTGCTCAGACTTAACACTAGGACATTGCTCAGAATTCCACACACTCTTTCTCATGCGTCTTTAGTTTGACCACCTATTCAACATTAATAACAAACCTTATTTGTGTGTGGGGAAAGGGGGGGGGGGAGTTAAACCGTAAGTAAAAAGAAAAAAAAACTCTTTACTGACTGCCCCGTGCTACGTCAAGAGTCACATGACTCTGACTCGGACATAACCGCAGGGCGCCTACGAAGAATGATCTAGCTTTACCACCAGATACGGGTAACTTGCCGGTGCACGTTCCAGCCGGCTGTTGAACGGAGGAGAGCGCACTTCATTTCCCGCTCAAATGATCCAATTGGCCAAAGAGCCGTCTATTAGGAAATCACACACTTGTACCATTTTATTATTTGTTTTTCTTCTTCAAAAAAAAAAACAACAAAACGTCTAAACTCGAGCAGACGATGTAATAAAATAGTTTCCCCCTTAAATCCTTGAACTACAGTAGTGACGTAGGGGAGGGAGCGGGGAACGCATAGCGCCCCTCCCCCCTCCCCCCCCCAACCACTTTTTTTGTTTTGTTTGTGAAACAGAACATCACGTAACATACCGATCAACTAAATACTCAACAATGTTAAAAGAAAAAAAACAAGAAGTCTTCACCGAGTCTTTTATTGACCCAGATTTCAGTTCGACTCATTTGATGAGTCAATTATTTGATTCTTTTGTCATTCAAAAAAAAAAAAAAAGAAAAAAAGCACCATTCCTAGAATGGACTAGAACAAGTACATTGAAGGGTGCAGGGGTTTTAAAGTTGTATCCACAGTGGATAATCGGGATGTTTATCGTTTCTTTTGTCATTCAAAAAAAAAAAAAGAAAAAAAGCACCATTCCTAGAATGGACTAGAACAAGTACATTGAAGGGTGCAGGGGTTTTAAAGTTGTATCCACAGTGGATAATCGGGATGTTTATCGTTTCGGTGTGGGGGTGGGGGCTACAAGGGGGAAGTATGGAGGGGCTACAAGGGGGAAGTATGGAGCTAAACTGTTGGTGTCATAGAGTCGATTCTAGAATAAAAAGGCTTTGATTCTGGAGTAGTAAGGAATCGATTCTAGAACAAAAGCAGAAGACCACAGGAGGGTTGTCTATTAATTACGTCAACAAAATAGGGGCTGGGTGAACAAAGTTTGACAATAGTTGACAGGGGGGGGGGTGTGGGATGGGAGTCAGCAATAATTGACATCAACAATTCTATTTTTCTTTGATGTAATTCTTGATAGTTCTAGATCTAGATATCGGAGGGTAAATTCGTGCCTTACGTGTTTGTTGTTTAAATTTTATGTTGATATCAGTATTATATATTTCTCACTGTTCCCCCGCGTCAACAAGTGCTCTGTTTGCCTCGACCTTGTCCAAGGCCTGGAGAGTGGCAGGAGAACCACCTCAAACTTGTCCAAGGCCTGGAGAGTGGCAGGAGAGCCACCTCAACCTTTTCCAAGGCCTGGAGAGTGGCAGGAGAACCACCTCAACCTTTTCCAAGGCCTGGAGAGTGGCAGGAGAACCCCCTCAGACAAGCCAGAAATACATCCTCTTCCTGCGAGCATGTCCCGATAAAAAGCTGCTACAATTTTTCTTAATTTTGTGTGGTTGTTTTTTTTTGTGCTTTTGTTGTTGTTTTTTTTTGTGCTTTTGTTGTTGTTTTTTTTTGTGCTTTTGTTGTTGTTTTTTTTTTTGTGCTTTTGTTGTTGGTTTTTTTTGTGCTTTTTTTGTTGTTTTTTTTTTGGTTTTTTTTTTTTTTTTTTTTTTTTTTGTTTTTTTT